GCAATACTGACACTCTAATCAGGGTTGCCGAAATGGTTACCGGTAAGTTATATCATAAGTCACCGGTGAAAGCAATCTCTTGAAAACCCTGAAGAAATTAGAGAAATAAAGTTAAAAGTATAAGGATAATAATAAATGATAAAATAAGAAGAGATACTTATCAATTTGAAGATATAAGAAATGACAGTTAATAAATATTTCTTTAACATAAGTATAGATCACCTGTGACACCTTTGTTCAACAACGGATTAATTTTATATTAAATATAATTAAGGTAGGAGGTCTATTGCTATGACTAATCTATATTTATTAAACATGATAGAATAGCTTCTATTTTATATTATCAAATAGTTGAAAATAATTGCTATTGACTATTTCACTACGAAGCTTCTCCTTTATCGTCTTCGTCTTCATTCTCCTCTTCATTGACTTCATTCTCCTCTTCATCGACTTCATTCTCCTCTTCATCGACTTCACCCTCGCTTTCGACTTCATCCTCTTCATCGACTTCATTCTCTTCTTCTACGGTCTCAGTTTTGTATTTGGCCAATATTCATTTTGGCATATTTATTGGTGGCTTGTCCTCTGACGCAAACCCTGGTCCATGACTTCTTATTCGAGATATCTTTACTTTTACCGTTTCATCATTAATTTTATCCACATAGTTTCTTAACAACTCTTTTAGCTTTAAAAATAAAATAATTTAAATTAATCTTTATATATATATGCACGTTTTATGTACGATTTCTATAATTTCACTATATATCTTAGTACCAACTACTAATGCTAATAACAAAATGCACCTGAACTTTTTATAAAATTAATATATTTTATGCATTCTACAGTCCTTCAGTAACATAAATGTATATTGTCAGCTATGTGATATTACATAAAAATATGGACCCTCGAAGTTTGTACAAATTCATCTTATAGTCGATAATAAAGATGCATATAGAGATATAAGAATTATGAATTTAACTTACAGCTTGTGATCGCCACTTCAAGTTATAAACTACGATCTTTCTTTTTACCGATTCTTCATCCATTTCCGAGATTTCTGGGGAATGGTAATGATTACTTGTCTGTAACTTCATTAAGTCTTTTTTTGCTATCTTTCTTATTAACTTATCATTTACTTCAGATAAATGATCTATCATTTTTGCCCTTCGTTTTCTTTTCTATTATTAAAAAAAAAAAATTCTTAATATATATATAATGGCTAAATTAACAATATGATATTTTATATACAAAATCTACATATCTATTATTATGCTTCCTTCTTTTATGTTTGTCCACCACTATTGCCAGTTTTTGTTCTGTGATGAATTCGTCCTTTCGGTGTCGATGAAGTTGATGTAGTATTTTATAAATTATACAATCGACTACTGGAAATATTGTCTTATCCAAAGCATTTGTAATTCTTGAAAGTATTAAGATTTTAACAAGGTCGTGTTGATCCTCAAAGGTCTCTTGAAGTTTTAGTTGATACTCAGGTCGTAACCTTGACGTAATTAAGTTGATTTCTCTCTAAATTTCACATTCAATTACGAAAGGTAAAAAAAAAATCAGAACTTGGTGATGAACCCCAAAAAACTAAACTATTGAAACTTGGACGAAAAACAAAAAAAAGAACTAACTATTGGCGAACCCCAATTACGAAAGTTTTTTTAAAAAAAAAAAAAAAAAAGAAAAAAAAAAAAAAACTAAACTATCGGAACGTGGTAATGAAGGTGTGCCACTACCGCAGTATATACCATTTGTAATCCTCACAAACCAAATGGCTTTTCAGCAGTAGCACACATTCAATCACAAAGAACTAAAAAAAAAGAAAAGAACTAAAAAAAAAAAAAGAACTAAAAAAAAAAAACCAAAACTAAAAAAAAAAAACATAATAA